GACCCTCGGACAGAAGCAAAAGTCGTGAATACGACGAAGCTATTGGAAGCCGGGAAAGCAGGAGGACCAGATGGAATTCCTCCAGAAGTACTGAGAACAGACGCAGGGACAACAGCGAACATGCTCATACCACTGTTGCAGAAGGTCTGGAAGGAAGGAAAGGTACCTGCTGATCGACTAGAAGAAGAAGGGCTACCTTGTCAAACTCCCAAACAAGGGTGACCCAAGTCTTTTCAAGAACTGGCACGCAAAATATTATGCTACATCATCCTGGAGAGACTAAAAAAATGCTCTGCATTCAAAATTACGATCGTAAGAGGCTGGCTGGATTCAGGGAGAACAAATCATTTGCGGATCAAATTTCAACGCTACGCTACGCATCATCATAGAACAGAGCATATAACAGCAGAATGACAACTCTTCACATCAACTTCATCGACTTTGAAAAGGTGTTCGACAGCGTTGACCGGGAAGTAATTTAGCAGGCAGCTGAGTCAACGCTGCGGTTTTAATGCCACAAACCTTTATCAACCTCATTCAAGTTCATCAATTTAATCTGTAATAGATCATATCAAGAATCTACAAACGTTTAAATCTAATGACATTGGCGTGTTGGGCTGGCGTGAAACACTGCCTCCTAGATCCTTCGGCGAACCTCAAATTCACTTCAGAAACTCTGCACGTAATCGTATGTCAAACATTCACGAAAGTCATGAATCTTTATATGCTAGTTTTAGATGAGTTAATTCAACTACGTCAATAGGAAATGATTTTTTAGAAAAGAGTAGAAAATATCAATGCCAGTGAAAACATCTACATACCGTTACATTTTGTACATTTTTACCTAAACATGTTAACTTTTTTGTCGTCTATCTCTTTTTTTCTCTTTTTGAAGAACCAAGCAACCGTTAAAAGTGAAGTCTAATGGATGTTGTTTAAGAGTTCATTCATGAGGCAGTTACTAACGTTATATTGGCTGAAATCGTCTGACGCATTATAATTCTCTATATGAGTTCCTAAAGACTTGGAGTGTATTCTCATATTACTCAACATTGAAACCAATAGTATTCATTTTGCAACTTGTTTAGTTTGTCATCGAAAACTATGATAGATGCACCTTATGAAGCACCTTGCAGCAACATATGCTATTTTTTGTATACTAATCCCTATACTTGAAACTTTACTAAAGAAATTAGATTAGACGGAGTGTACTGTAGTACGGCTGAATCGCCTGTAGAACTTTAATATACACACTAAGCGTTTGGTTCACTTTCCGTTCCAGATTATGTTTGGAACGAATTTCACTTCAGTTTAAAATGTGTTAACTGATGGCTGCTTGATACATTTCCGTTATACAAGTCGATTTTAACCACACACGCAAGTCATTTATGCGGAACAGGGAAAAAATTTCATGGCTGCACAAATTATTAAAGTACTTTCTGCCTCATTTTAGATTCATGTGCTTCATTTTATGACAGTTCAGTCTTCCGGAAAGTTAAAGAATGATTGAAATAATTTCAAAATGCTTGCCTTTTGTCGCATAAACTGCAAATAATCTTACATCGAATACAACCACTTTACTACTTGTAATCATATGACTACGGTCTATTTAGGTTTGATCTCACCTAAACGAGTTAAACTCATTCTTGTGATTATTTTACCGAAAGTATATTGATTGGGTTTAAGGTCATTTCAAGTATATCAGATATAATATCACATTCTGTTTACAACTGATCAATAGATTGTCCTTTGATTTCGGGCGTTTTCAAATGATCCTAAAATAAATTGTGTATTTTATTACAACTTATGATCAAATTGTATATTTGAAAAAAGCAGGATACATATCTGACATTTGATATAGGGTGGAGGTAAAAGCTCTGATATTAAGGAATTCGTTAGGTGTATTTGGCTTTCCCTCCAGGCAAATGAGAATCTTTCCTGTAATCCCTGCTACTAATTATTTTTTATACGCCTAGTGATGTAATAATACTTCATCTGGGAAGGTTTCTTGATATTTACTCAGATATTCGATGAGGAATTTTTATCTTACTGCAAGAAATTAAATCCTGTCGTTACGCCTTTAATACTAATGACATTTTTGTGCGGAATTATAATCGTCGAGAATAATCATAGTTTGAAGTTCTTTCTAGTATTCCTTCCAAAACGCGGAATATATGCACGTCCTTGATGACGAGAAGTTTCCTCCTGAGTGAAAATTAATGTACAGTACCGATTTCGAACTCACGAGTTGTCACTACTCGAATGCAAAGTGAATAAAACTCTGATAGTTGAAGTCAAATAGACTACACTTATTACATTATACAGACTCTCAGCACGCATGAAACTTCCGTATTCAAGTCAGAAGAAATCAAATGATCCTAGTCAAAAAAGATACACCCAGTTCAGTGGTAAGATACATAAACAGATGTAAAAACTCCAGTGGAATCACTGAAGGCTGGATTAATTGTAGAAACAATGTCGTAGAGACTGGAAGCCGTCGCTTTAACGATTATCAACGGAAAAGGATGTACTATATGATAACAATTTTATCATTAGAAGTGTATAGTAAGTCACCGATTTATTTGGCATAGAACTCCGGGTGGAGGAGAAATAGAGCAACAAATTGTCATTCATGGACGTTAAGGTCAACTGAATCAGCGAAGTAAAACTCTGAGACTCAATTATACAGGAAGGAAGGTCATATCCCTAGCTGTAGTAGAAACGATCTAGCAGCCCACAAAATAGTTTCCGTTCATACTTTGATTAAAAGAGCAGAAACACACCATGGTACATAAAGTTCACGGAGAAATGAAAAAAATTACTTGATGACTATCATTAAGAATGAAGCTTACCCCTGAAATTTCATTATAAGATGCTTAACAGTTTGACACCAAATACAAAATCATCCACAGAAATCGGCAATCGGCTTATCTTGCTATACATGACGCAAAAACTGAAGAAGATACACAAAATATCCTTTACGAAAGTGACTGCAACAATTGAGATAAGAACTAATTGGTCATATTGGTCGCTGGCTTCATCTCCGTATACATGAAAATCAGATAGCATTTAGTGTCGTAGCAAATTATTTCCTGCACCAATGCATACGGACAACTGCGGGTGACAATCTGGTTATGAAATTTTGAAAATCTTGAGCAAAGAGTATGGGAGAATTCCTAGGAGTTTGGGATTCAGGTCAACCGCATAATAAAACTACTCAGCTTAAGTAACGCAACACAACCAAGACATTACTGCTAGTTATTTTCACAGTATTATAATATACTTGTCCGAAAATTGATTATCACGTACTCTATATGCTGAAAGCTGGTGATGAGGATATAGCTGCTTATATCATGAAAATCTGTATACTAGGTAGATGAAACATAAGTTATTTATTCCGAGAACAACGTACAGACTCATTCCTGAAGTTAATAGGTCTTATTTTGAAATGTAGGTTGAGCATACTGTGCACAAAGTAAGTCATACACACTCTGAGAAGGCATGAGTTTAAAAGTGAAGTTAAATTTAAGAAACTTTGGATCTATATTTTAATGAATTTGCATTCGCCTACCTAGACTTTCTGACAGCGTATGTTTTTACTTTTAAACTTAGAAAGTTAATGGTTTTTCAGCGAGTAACCTAAACTTAACTACTCATTAGGTTGTTTTTTATAAAGTATTGTTTAATCGTTGACACACTGCATTTACCTAGTTCATTGAATCAACTCCTACCATGTGTACCAGGAATGACTGAGCACCTAACCGAGACATCAGGAAAATTTGTCCGCCCACGAGACAAGAGTAAAGACAGGATCAAAACGATGCAAGAAAAGCGAAAAGTTCGTAGTTACCTTAATGTGATCACCAGAAGTAGTCAGCTTAAAACGTCATCCAGTAATGAGGAACACCGTGTCCTAATGATATATATCTTGCGAAAAAACTAACATTGAATTATTCTATGTTGGAGTGTTCAAGTTCTAGTGTTATGCTATCCAAATTTATATCCTGATAACTTCTATTTTATTTAATTCATGCAGCATGAATTTAATGGACTGAACTGTTGGTTAAACAACTACTGATTTCTCATGGTTTGCTTTTATTTATCAAGCCTGTAGATCCGTTTATTTCCCCCTTGGCATAAATTTTTCCCCCTTGAAGATTTTAACAAAACTGTTAACTTAATGTGTTTTGCTTAGTTGATATCAGCTAAGGTGGAATTAGTATTAATAATTACCCTTTTGTATTGAAGCAAAGAAGGTTGTCGTATGATTTTCACTTACTTGTACAAAAAGTGTTTGTCAGTAATTTTGTGGATATTAACGCACAGGTTTTATGACCTATAACAGTATGGTCTACCAAATCTTTTAAATAAGAAATCGTGTAAATGTTAACTGGGCGGGGGCCATTGACGGCAAGCTCTACTTGACCTTGATTTCCTGCTCGTTGGCATTTGTCGACAAGGCATACCTACAGCCTCTATGGAACCAATGTCGCAACTGAGATTCGAACCTCCATCACCTACTGAGGCAGTCAGAAAGGTTAATACTTCGATATTCTTACTGCAACTGACTTTGTGTAAGACTGGTTGTATGTATTTATCTATTTTGAATTGCAGCTTTTCGTAAGTAGTCCATATTATAATATAATAATATTCAAATAATATACAAACCTATTAACTTAGTAGACAGAATGAATAAAATAAACCTTTGACTGTTTTTGGTTTCACTTTGTCCTCTACGTAGTAATAGTTTCCTGGCTAATGCTTTGAGTAAAATCTTATAGCATTTATTTAAATGTTTTGCTTAAAATTCCAATACAAAACACATATTTTGTTGCAAATAAACGAAAAATTACAGTTACTGAAAACAGAATTCTAACTTCCATATTTCATTTTCAAGTATATGCATTAATTTATGAGGAAGAAAGATAATGTCAAACAAGTGAAGAGTTTCACACTTTGTTCAATTCATGAAATTATTCACTCATTTTGTGTTGGTACATTTGACAATGGAATATACATTGTGCATAATCCGGTATGGAGGTAGTTGTTCGTTTATCTGTCTAACAGACGAATACCATACAAATGGAAAAAAAGCAAATGAGAAATATCGTATATGAAAGACATTTCAAGGACGTCATGTACAATCTTATCTCTGGATTAAATAAAACAGATTATACAGGAAAATTTGCGTTTCTTAAATTATGTTCTTTTACATTAGGATTATTGATGATATGATTCTGGTTTCGAAGTTAATGGTTGAAAAATTGACCACCTTCTATTGGCATTTTGAGGTTTACTAAATTTCTATAGAACATAAACACAGAATATATTATTAGATTAATAACTACTTGCAGCATTCACATTTAGCTAAAGCAGTGTATTTAAATGAGACTTATGAAACTGTAATCCTGTGTTTCTCAACAACAAAGACTCCAGTTTCTAAATAATGTTTAATACCATGAATACGTTCCTGCTCCTTGATACACTATAGAATAAACAATATCAGCATAAACATGAAGCTGGTAGAAAAATAATGTATATAATGATCTTGGCAACTAGTAGACAAATCCGGGATGCGCACTTCGCCCTGATTAGAAGTCGTCAGCTAGATGTACCTGTATCCCAGTGAGTGATGTCCTTCCGACCCATCGCTTCAAACAACAGAGCGTTATCCACTAAGCCACTGGGGCACGATAGCCACCTCTTGTGCAACGAGTATTAATCGTTGTTATGATACTTGTGATTTCCCGTTGCTATACAGGACCAAATTGCTCGACCTCATGACCCAGTGGTATAGTGGCTAACGCGTTGGCGTTTGAAGCTATGGATTTGAGTCTCAGCAGAAACAACATCACTCACTGAGGTGCAGGTACGTCCAGCTGACGAGTCCCAGACAAGATGAAACATATGTCTTGGATTCCTCTGTTTGTCATCAAGATTTATATAACATCGCAAATATCCAGGAGTATCAAAGTATCCATATAGTGGCTTATCTTTCAACAACAGAAATCGAGTAATTTGCTCCTGTTTAGCAACGGGAAACTGCAAGTATCATAACAACGATAATGTATGTAAGTTGAAAATCGTCTAATAATGAACTTTTATATCATTTATTTACTGCACACCAGAAAATGAGTGGATTTTCTGTAAAATTATTAATTATTATTGAATTGTATTTAAGCGAGTGAATAACGGAGAATAAATCCATCATTTGTTGATACTTCTAGTCTCACGTTGATTATCACACTGAACTAATTCGATGGTTCACCCTTGACATAAGGGCTATTTGAACGGATGACTCGAAATGAACTCAGTTTCCATTTGTTATTTGCTTGGTAATATCTAACGGTGTAATCCAGGACCCACTTTCCAGCTTATTTGAGACGTGCCAGTCACATCCCAGCGAATGATAATGTTCCCACAGCAAATGGAACCCGGAAACAGTCGAGGTCTATTAGATCAAATAACTTAACCAACACTGTATGCATTTTAGAAAGTTGGAAGTATCTTGGTCATTTCACGATCTTCCGTTATTTTCAAGGCAGCGTGCTATAATGGAAACATGTTGCGTATGAGAAATTCGCATGTATTTTGACTGAGACATATTTCTGAATGTATAGATGTGATAGTTCATAGGAATTCCTAAATAGCCTGCAACATTCATTTCCAACTGGCTGGTCAACAGTGTATATTGTTATGGAGCAGAAGTATAAAGCAACAGCAGAAGTGCATATTTACTGCAGTCTCCAATACTGTAGTAAAAATGTGCATTCAGCATGATCAAAAAAGAACTTAAAAAAGGAATTTACGATACCACTGAATATAGTTTCCTAAAAACTGGCGAATCAGGCTCTCAATATGAGACCAAAGCCTAATCTAAAGAACCTAAAACTTGTCACTTAGCTGTGGAAAAAAACAGTATCAAAATATGGATTCATCGATGCTGGTTGAATTTTACTTCATATGTTTGAAGCAGATAACTGAAGTTAATTTCATCTGGTGTATGTGGATGAAAGATAAATATACAAGGAAAATTTTGCTTCATCAGGTTATGTAGTTCAAGCAGAAATATACCCTTGATTTTTTTGAGAGCAAGTGAAAACTTGTGATTTCTGGGTTTTTAATAAACAAATGCTTTTCAGTACTGCGCGAGTTAGTTACAGCAACGTTCATCTGAACTATCATGCAAAGCTTTCTGGTGAAATGCGTTATTACTATGTTCTATTATTATCCTTTAATTTGTGACAGGATTAATGGTAGATTAGAGGAAAATTGAAGAACAAATCTACCCAAAGTAAAGTCTTTTTTATTTAGACTACCCATCAATGTGACTGGAATAGGGAGCTTGTAAAATAACCAATCTGTAGCTCCCTGGAATAGTCAGTCGATTCTTAAGTGTATAATCACAAGTTACGTCTGTACTCTACCTAACGAAATCTGGGCAGTCTATTGACAGCACTGATTATCGTGTATTAGAATTAGCCCATTGTTCAGTGCTTAAAACTGTTAACAGTCATTGAGTTTCTCTTTATTTTTATACGATTTCTCAAGAAAAACTAAATAATTAGTGATAAGGGTCTGACTTCTGAAAATAAAGCCTTCTAAGACACAACTCCAAAAATTATTCTTCGTAACTATACTGAAATTATTTAAGGTTACTGTGAGGCTTGGAGGCATAATTTTCTTATTTTCCTTGATGAAATTTTAAACGTGTACTAGATTGAATTGATATCTACTTCTGTAGATTATTCTATGTTTGCGAAAAAAAGATCAAAGCTAATCGTAGATTAAAATCTGTATATTTTATTACATAGGTCCTCATAGCTCAATGCAGCTTAAAGTTACAAAGCTTAAGTTCAAAGTTCATAGCACACCGAGAAGTCAAGGAAATTTGGGGATTAGATAACAGGTAAGTATTCAAAGTAAGCGTTTATGTGTAGAACTCAGAAACTCTGGTAGAATATAATTCCATACTAGCTTTGTTTATCGAATATATTCGATATGATTATCACCAATATTTTGTGTTATAAACGTCATTAAGTAAACAGTACCGTCGCACAGTGTGTTTTATCAGATAAATGAATCTAATATGGAAGGCTTTTACATGCATGTAGTACGTAATACAAAACAGGTAGAGTTAGGAGGACCTACGCTGACAAAATCAGGCATTAGGAAGTTAGTCACAGACTTCAACTAGTGAGGGAAAAGCAGGTGAAATTAATATGTGTGGAACTTAGACATTGTGGTAGAATGTAATTCCATATTAGATTTGTTTATATGATTTATAACACACAGTGATACAGTATTATTCACTCAGTGAGGTTGTGGACATAAATTATTGCTCATAATCGTATCAATGTAATCACACTACTTTTAACATCTGGCTTTCATAATCCTGTCACTTCCTATTATTTTTTTTATGGGTGGTAAAATTTTCCATATCTCTGGTATTGGTGTTGCGTCATTCCTATTACATGTGTTGGGTGTTGATCCCATTCGTAGCAGATATATTTATGGATAGTTGGGAAAACATGGCATTGCAAACCTTTAATCCTGCACTTAAAATATGGTGGCGATATGTGGATGACACATTTACTGTGTTGAAATCTAAACATGTCGACAATTATCGCATACATAAACTCAGCAGTACGTTGAATTCAATTCACTTACGAGGTAGAAAATGAACAAAGGGAATTACCTATGTTGGATTGCAGGATAAAACAGAGGGCAAATGATGGTTTGGATATTATCATTTACAGGAAAGTGACACTTTCTAACAGGTATCTCGACTTCAGGTAATCTCATCGTACGTCAGTCAGTGAAGGTGGGTTTAGTCAAATGTCTAAATGACAGAGTTAAAAAGCTGACTGGTCAGTGCAAGGACTTAGAAAAGGAATTGAAGAACATGAGAGATTCTTATGAACACATAAAAAAAAGAAATAATAAAAGTGACACGAGCATAAATAATTACAACTCCGGTTAGAAGGAGTTTACAGCCTCCATTGTGTTACCCTATAACAAAAGAACGCCAGAAACTTTATTTAAGATTCTCAAAAAAGGTGGAATTAGGGTAGCATTTAAACCTACAAACTCACTCGGAAATAGGCTTTTTTGGCTCAAGGATCAGATAGATCCAATTGAGCAAAGTAACCTAATCCATCAAATTCCATGTAATGACTTCGAGGTCACACACGTAGCTCGAACTAGCCGGTTAGGGTCATTTAGATCAATGGAACATAGGGTTTTAGCTAAATATAAAATGACAGACCCCAATCAGATCAACAATATGGAAAAAACTCTGCTGTTGCAATACTTGCATTAACATAACCACAACACAGGGTGAGATAAAACCGCTGTAATTAAGTTCAGTCTAATTAAGTGGATAGATTGATAACTGAATTTCTGTTCATCGAATCAACACCTAAAACATGTAAAGGGAATGACTTAGTACCGATACCAGAGATATGGAAAATTTTACCACCCATAAAAAAAATAATAGGAAGTGACAGGATTATGAAAGCCAGATGTTAAAAGTAGTGTGATTACATTGATACGATTATGAGCAATAATTTATGCCCAAAACCTCACTGAGTGAATAATACTGTATCACTGTGTGTTATAAATCATAAAAAATCTAATATCGAAGATAAGTGGAGAATGTGCAAAACGTTGATTCATCGTTATCAGGGTAATGTGAGGACAACGACACTATTTTTCGGTCATAATTATTTAATTATCACCTCTGAAAAGCAGAGTGAACCGACTGTTTTTGACATGTGAATAACTCTGAGTGCATAACTGACTTTAACTGGATGTCCTATATTCGTTAAGTTTCTAGCGGTCATGCCTGCAAAAACTTTCTTTTCCTCGAAGTTGTAAACGCTCACAGACATTTTCAGAAAGTCTAGTGTTCGTTTCCTCTCAGTCCTTACTATACACTCACGGAAGCAAGTGCATGTTCTCTCCATTCGCTTGTTTGTTTATCAGATATATACACAAATATATTTAACTATAAACATACATGTATATAAATGTATATATACTGATATAGTAAGAAATTATCATTTACTGGATTAAATTTCAGGCAGACTTCATCAGTCCTAACTATATTTCTGTGTAGAATATTTAGCGAACATACTGTATCTCAATAACTAGATTTTACTGTTATATACTATTGACTTCATCCTTTATTTCTGTCTGGTCTTTTGTTGTTATAAATTTACTGAAGTCATAGGCTGTATCTGGACAAAAAATGAAGCGACTATATGAGCCAGCTTCATGTCTTTCACAAAGACTTATTTTTCATACACTTACTTATGTAACAGAATTGTGTCAGAAGTACTATCCACGTATTATTTCTTTTATACCCTGATAATCAGAGAGCAGAAAGTCGTAAACTACTTTTTTTTTATGTTGAAATACATTGGTGTTAATATATACATTTTTTTGAATAACTGTGTACAGTCTTCAGAATGACTTTTGAAATTTAAGCTTCTACTCAACTAGATAAAATTTACCGCACCAGTTACCACTAGAAGAGTACTTTTAGGAAAGTGGTACTACAGAGATTTATATATGAATTAGTCACCAAGTTCTGGTGTCTTCTAGCTTTCATTTGTTTTTTTCTCTGAGGAATAAGTTTGTTGTAAAAGTACCGTTGTGATCCAGCGACTCAGTGTTAAGCGCCGGGGTAAAATGAATATATTTCATTCTTGTGTATATTCACAGACTATGGATGTGATGAATTTTGCCGTAAAATGTTTGATGAATTGCTGTCTAAAATAAACAGTTAAAAGAGTAGCACACTGTTCTTTGAGTATATCCTGGAAACACTGAGTTTGTTCGAATACACATCTAAGTTGAAAATCCACAAAAGGTTGTAGGAGGCTAAGAAGAATCTTTGAATACAAAAGCTTGGTGTGCATGAGTTGTTTTTAGTGTTCATTTTACTGATAACTTTTTCTTAACAAATTTCTAAGTTTATCTGTGACTTTATCTTCCTAACAAAGTAGAAATATACTGTTTCAAATGATACCATAAAAACTTGACGTTGAGTTTGGCTAATAACATACTTTAGTGAAATAAAAATTCTCACTTAAACATTTGGTAGGTGACAACGGGAGAAGATATAGATTGTGTTTCTTCTTTAATTTCATATAAGTGGAAAAATTGTAGGTTTAACTCATGGTGTTGAGTATAATTTTCTAGATTCGTCAGAGAAGCTCTAAATCTCTAAAGACCTTGACAATCAATCACCTTACTCTAAATTAGTGGAGAATATTTGTAGGCCAGGTGGATGATTTTAGTTATGTTGCATTCTCTGAGCTAGATGGCTTGATTTTAAACCTTTCAACTTCTTTTTAGAGAATATCATCATCAATGACTCCATTATTCAGTGAGCCATCAAGATTTCTCCTTCAGAGATTCAGTAGTTTGCCCTGATGAAGTGGTGTATCGTTGGTGTATTTTGTACTGATGTTTGACATCTCAATATACCTTCTCTTGTTTAGATGTCTTCTTCTGTTCCAGAAGAATTGAGCAGTGAGGATCTGAAGGTTGCTATTTAGGAGTTCTTGTATATAGTTCTAGTTAAATCAGTGGAAATTTGCCTACCTAGTAATTTCAAAGTGCTTATAAAGCGATAGAGAAAATACGAGTGTTCACACTTACACTTCTAGTCGAAATCGAATATTAAGGTGGTACAAGCATAACATTTAATATGACATCCTACTCCACTCAGTTTGCTCGTGGTTGTAAGTATATGCCTTCTATACATATCAGAAGTCGTTGAAATCCACCTGCTGAAACTGAATTTTCACATCTAGAAAAGGTATGTGGTTGCTTTCCATATTTTGGTCTTTAACGTAGTTCAAAACTTCATCCCACATTTTGGTTTAACTAGTCTGAAAAGATAGCTTACTTCTTATTCATCCAAGATTCTTTGTTTCAAAATTTTTATTCTGTTACTTTTGACGAGTAACTACCTAATAAAAATCTCCAGTTCCCTTATAATTGTGAAAACTGTGTAGTTAGCTAACAATCCATTTCCGTTTTATTTTACAAAAGTTATGAACTCTGCACATTCAGTCCACTTACTATCCAGCTGTTTAGTTTCCTCAATTACTACCTTGCTAAACAACTTCAGATCTGTACAGGTTACTATGTAGTTTACACACAGTAGGCTGGTGTTAAAACAGTAATGATAATGATGATAACAATGAGAGTGTACAATTATGATGAGGAACTGAGTAAACTTAAGCATATTTAACTGAAACGTATTGGTGATAAATAGCTTTCATTTCATAAGGTCGATATATGCTCATTATTTATAATACACTTATAACTTAATTATAAGCTTGGAAATTTAAAAAAATAATTCCGTTGCTAAGTTACATAGCTTACAATAATCATATTCAAATGTTTACTAGGCTTATTCGCAACTTCACAACATCATATATTACTAGTACAACTAATAATAATAATAATAGTAATTTGAAGTTTAACTTTACTGAAGTCTTCAACTCTTCTTTTCTTGAACTCTAACATAAAATGTAAACATGAATGACTTCGTCATTAGCTGGCAATCTCAGAAATGATGAATAACACGAAGGGAAAAAGTGGCTGACGAAAGTCATTCAATTGCAAAAATGACTTGTCCTAGAATCAAACAATAATGGTCAAACTATCAACATCAACTCAGCAGCATGTACATAAAAGAGGCAGACAAAAACTGTCTTTACCAATTCAACTGTACTTAAGACAGCAAAGAAATAGTAAGGATACCAAATATTGGGGGCTGAGTAAAAGATTGACATTAGAAATAATTTTATTTTTATAAGTCACGGCGTGTTGAATATGAAATAATCCCAATGTTTAGCAAGGAAGTCTAGTTCGATCTCCCTCTCTTCCCCCTGCCTTACCTTTAAACTTTCTTCCAGTTCATCACCGACTAAACTTAATCGTGATACCAATTTACCAGAATTCAAGCCTTCGTGAAACCCAGGTAGACTGACTGATTGCCTTCGATACGCTAAACGTTCAATCTGGAATGAATTTGTTCGAGATTCCCTGACAGTTTGCGGTTCATTGTAATTGTACAAAGTTTCACGTGAATACTAAGAAAAACAAAAAATTAAATACTGATGAGACAAAAAAATACTTTCAAAAGAATAATAAAGAATCCGGATAAATTAGAAACACATAGTGTAGAGTATCACTGCTGGCAAAAGGAAATGCAAAGAAAATAAACGGTCTGAATACAACTTTCAAATTTTAGAAAATAACTGAAATTACTAAACATTTGTTGTTTTATTGTTATTAGACTAAGCATTTGTATGCTGAAAATAATCACAGATGATTCAGTCACACGGTAGGTTGGTTTCTGAGATTTCTAACACGCTGTTTTTTAGAAAGTTGCACTGATAACCTGAAGAAAAGAACAGTCGTTTAGAGAAACATCACTTTGTACATTCTTTAGAAACACTTCAGGCAAATATATATAGTAAATGAATAGATTTCAGCATTTGTTCTCTAGGCAGTGAAATCAAACGCAGAATGTGCAATTAATACTGTTTCGCATTCACTGGCTACACATACCTTTATCTTACTCCTTCTTCAAAGTGAATGAGAAAACGTATGAATTATGGTTATATAATGGAAAAACTCCTGTTTTCATGCACAACTATCCATATAGACAATGTAGAAACAGTGAAGTTTGACAGTGATCTTAAACAGGTTAAACCTATATACACATATACAAGTAAATATAACTGGATGGCAACCACTTTTCATTGTTATCAAGTCCTAAATGCTAATAAACTATATCAGTCATTTTGACATGTGATCACCAACGTAATAACTTTATGATCAGAGTGCATTAATGGTTAATATTTCGCTGGAAGCGATCAGCTGGAAGCTACAGGGTGGGTTTTATACTTGTTAACGGTCACCAGTAAGATGCATTTGCAACCTCGACGGAACTTATGCCACCACAGAAATATAAATCTACATAACCGAATGATGCAAACACAAAAGTAACCAATGAGTTACTATGCCTCTACCGAGCTCCTTTAGTTTTCACTCAGTATTCAACAGTAGGAAGATGAATTCAAGAAGTCCGGAAGAGGAAGAAGAATTCTTACAGGCTTGCAGATGAAAGCTCTCAATCTTTGCTATAGTTGTCAATTGTAAATAAATATTTACACCTTTGAAGAAGAGCGGTCTGTCGCTACTTTTTATTACGGTTATGGACATTTTGGTAAACTATTTCAGGCCATAGTCTTTATACAGTCTTATAATATAACGGGAAGGTAAACTAATTCACTTAGAAGAAGGAAATGTTTTCTGCTATAAATCACTATCAAGCAGTAAGTGTAGATTTATAGATATTTGTGGATACCTTATGAACAAGTAGAATGAGAGACACTGAATCACAGTATCGGACCAAGAATCTAGAAGTTTGACGGGACTGTGTGGTCGACAGGCCTCAGTAAATTCTAGTTTCAAGAATGTGATATTTCTTATCATCTAAGGGTAACTTTGCATCCGAATATAGGGCCACTTGTGCTATGTTTGTAAAGTTAATCAAAATGGAATTTTTGACATGTTAATATTTTCACTTTGGTACCGTTCAAAAATTGTGCAGAATATAATAAAGCCCATGCATTTCTAATATTTTCTTCAACTAGACATTTTTTTTCCGAAGAATAAAATAATGCCACTATCATGAATAGAAATGAGGAATAACAAGCACTGGAGGCGAAAACTTAAATGACATCTGTTTTGTACTATTTTTTGTATTGTTTTTAAAAAGAACAGGTCCCACACTTGCTTTAGGATCATAATTTATAGTTCAAATTGCGTGGGTCTCTTGGTTAAATTTATCTTGAAATTTGCAATTTTATTAGTTTCCTTCTAATAATATAACAGTGAATAAAACTTTGATAGCTCAAAAAGAGTTACTTGCATGTCGTTGCGATCAAGTTTGTATAAGCAGATTTCTTAGGCAAAACAGTTTTTATTTAAACCGTTTACCTATCCAGTTTATTATCTCATTTCAATATGTTCTTTAATTTAATAAATATTCTATTAGAAAGAATTCTTTATTTATCCAGTGGTAGTCAATGGAAAGAACATTTTTAAATAAACAATGGAGTTTAACAGACGTTTTATCTAAACAATGCAAGGCGGGCAATTCATAACTTACTGATCAACAGAATAATAGCATATTTTGATCCATGAGCAATTCAGCTTATTGATTGACGGTGATACTAATAGAAGTTTACAGTATAACTTTTGATTTGACTTAATATGACTGAAGAAAGGATGATCGCATAATATAAAGAGATGTAAATCGATTGTACTAAAAATTATGAACATAAGTGCTGAAAATTAGTTCCGGATACACAGTTATTTTTAGAAATTATATTCCTTGGTCGTTGACAATAAAGCTTAGTTACACCATACTAAAGCCTAAGGAACTTATTTGAGATCTTATTTGGTTATTCAACATGCTACAAAACCAATACTGAAATCAGCCGTCTACGTAGAATCACGCGGTTCCTTGTTTTTGTTCTCAGAAAAAGACTGAATTAGACATCATAATGCTTAATTGTTACAGGCATATGAAACAGTGGATATTCTGCAATGCACATTATTCTCATTCACTTTGGATTCAAATACCTTGCAACAGTTTTCTAGACTGCATATTTATGATGGATAGTGGCTAGCAGTGGAATCTAGGACGCGCGTTTCGTGCTATTTGGGACTCATCAGCTGGATGCACCTAGCTCCTAGGGAGTGATACAGTTCCCACTGAGACTCGAGCTCGGAATCGATCGCTCCAAAGTCCAGAGCGACTAGACCACTAAGCCACGATAGCCACTTCCAGACTGTTTGTCTTAAAATCAAGTATATTGGACGTTCCTCATCTACATCACCGCTAACGGACTGCATTTGTATCCTACCATACGTGAATACACAAATCAAGCTTATAATTACAATGTCTCTTTAATTACTATCCTTTTAAATTTTCCTTTCTTCACTGAAAATCTTTTGTTTTGCAATAGGCACAGTCATGGACGAATTTCAGTTTCCGCATGCAATTTGATTGGCTGACAATACATTAATAATGCCATTGATAAAAAAATTTCATTGCTAAGTAATCAGGTTTTATTAATTCCTTAATATATCTGAAATACAACTCCAAATTATCTTATTAACAATCAAATAACATTAAGCAGCATTTTCAGTTCATCAAGATTAAAGCAGGAAAATAACTGAAAACAACTGTTCAACGTATAAATTTATTCTCTTTCATAGCCTAGATAAATTCACATCAGAATGAAGTTAAAAGCCATACGGGCTTACGAATTATAAATTAACACACCTTCTGATTTCCAGTGACCTAGTCTTTCATTACCACATTAAGGTCACCTCTCCAAAGCAAGTAGTAGTATACAGATGTCACTTTACCACTTACTAAAAAAGCTTAGCATTATACAAATTATTTACATTCGTTAGATTTTTTGGTAAAAACAAAGTGAAATCATGGAGTAAAATTTAGCTTTGGCTTTTGATTGATTCTTTTTTATGAGATGATAGAGAGTGAACTCAGTGAAGTTCGACTTTTAAGCACCATATTTTGACTGTTGTATGACGGTCACAGAAAATTCTTCCAATTTTTAGCTTACTATCACTTCAGCTTAGTTTTCTTCAAAATACAGTAACTTGCAACATTTGACAACTCAGTAAATGATAAACCTTGTTTAGCAGTTTGATTTGGAAACAGTGGGACAGAAAGTGAGAAACCATTGACTTTATTGTGTCCTAGACAAAGGTATTTCCAGCTTAATTTGTCCACCTGTCGTAACAAGGCACATAGAAGCCAAAAGAAAAGAATATGCCGAGTAAAACTTGCAGGCAAATCTTGGAATTAATGATATCAGTCAGCAGATAGGCAGGAAGTAAAAATACACCGAAACAAAAAATGTTGGTACACACACGGAATATTTGTACTCCCACCAGTGAATGGTTTGTAAGGACTCGAACTACAAGATGAGTGGGACTTTTAACTGAATAAAAACACTGAACACCTTACTGTTTAATGAATGCTGATAATGTGTTCTGAACCCTAGTTTTAGTGTACGCTTCAGGAAAGGATTCGTAACAACGCTGTACTACAGAGAAATAAAAGGATGGTTAAATTTAATTTCGAAACTGTTGAGTTACCACTCATTTGCAAACTGGATTTCAATCTTTTCATTAAACTGGAAAAGTTTACCAAACTGAATAAAGCCGAAATAGTTAAGTACAAGAGCATCGACGCCTGTATCGTTGATTCCAGGTTTGCCTAATGAGCATTTGACTCAATGACTGAGTACTATTTGCCCGGTAGCATCTCAAACAAAATTTCTTATTCATAGTCAAATTGTGCACTACTTCACTGCTGAGCTTGTAGTATCCCCTGTGTCACTTCTCAATGAACCGAAGTTAAACTTCTTATCCACGATGTCATTTCAAGGTGATATTTCACGTTCATTTCTTAATTCATTATATTTATGAACAACTTAATTATTTTAAGTTGTAAACAAGTATACTATTGAAAAAATGACTCCAGAAAATGCAATTGAAGACATTTTGATGCCTCTTCTGCAAGAAAAAACTAACGATAGAAGGCATTTTCTTGTAAGGTAATTGGCTACCTATGAAAACCTTTGCCAAAATAGGTGAGAATTCTCACTAATTTTCAAAAATATGAATTTTAAGCTAGTAGTTTCAGGACATTTGCCCTCAATACAAATTATCACCCACTGGGTTTTATATTTCATCAGTGTATTATCAGATGACAGTTCTGAAAACACTTACACACCAAATAGCACTTCCCTTTGTGAATTACGCATTTTGTTGCTTTTACATCTTTTTAGCGATTTCATCTATTTGCTGATGAATTTCATTTTGCCGAAAATTCCATTCATTGATATATTATCTGTAAAGCAATGTTAATGACTTCATGAACTGAAAACCTTACATGGTAATCCATTATAAAGGCTACTGACTGTGGTTCAGAAAAGCACTGATTAGAAAAGCATGAAGTCAGTTTACGATGGAACTCATTTAACGTTTGATGTATTAACCTATCCATAATGTACACAATCTGTCTATCTGGTGACCTCTTACGATGATTGGTCTCATTAAGCTACGTTTCCACTTCAGTGACACACTGCTATTAGTAAATATATAGAAGTGAGATGATAATTTCTATCCAGTCGACAACGGGAAGTTACAAGCAACAAAGTAAATTCCCTACATATCGCATAAGATGCGGCTTAGCGGCCTAGTGAATAGTGCTTTGGCGTCTGTAACGATGAATTTCAGGTTTTAATTCAGTAAGAATAAAATCACTCTCTGGGAACCAGGTACACTACCTTAAGAATCCCAAATAGGATGAAACGCGCATCCTAGATTCCGCTGCCAGCCACTAACCATACTTAATATCAAAATTGAGAACATTTGAAATATTGAGACATACGCACAACAGCCCATATGCCAATAGTAGCGGACCAATTCGGTTCAATCAGTGACGGGAAATTACAAACAATAACGGAAGATGATTTCACTTTTACTCTCAGGATTCTTTTATCCCGAAAGTGCACACCATGATACAGGCAAAGTCAAAGAAAAGTGATTTATTTTTCCGAGTCATCACTAGCACGAAAGTGCATGAAAAATTATTTCAACTTACCTCGATTTCATTTGTCTCAATACCTGAATTAACAATACGTAATTCATTCGCTGACTGGACAGTTGATAAACTTATCTTCTTTTTATTTTCACAATCTTTTGATGTTTTTCTTGACGACGAAGCAGACCAAAAATCTTCATCATCTGAATTAGAACTGTTGTATATTGTTGATAAAGAGGATGAACGTCTTCTTCGAAAAACTGACTGTTGTGAAGTCATTGATATGATTAAACGAGATACAACCAGGTATATTGTTTCCATAAACTATTCCCACTTTAAACAATACTAACTATTTTCATTAATTAAAATGTTTAAATTCAATGCGCTAGGTTAGTTCCTTCGTATAGATTCAGCTGTTAAAAGTGTGTTGTAGTGATCTAAACGAAATTATGTTCTCTGTTCAGGTACTATGTGAGCAAGCAATGGTCAACTATGGCCATTTGTGTTCTCTATGTTGCTTATCTGCTCAAAAAATTACGAAATGAATTTTAATGAAAATCTAGTTGAGTGATAAACAGACAGGTACTTATAGACATTGGCCTATGTATAAGCCGATTGGTGCGTACAATAACAATAAGTGTTCTCTTATTTTACGCTTGTACTTTGTCTTCAATGAGATTAATGTATGTAACATAACTATTCTTTGATTTTTTTCGACAGGAATTATATCCTTGAACTTTTAAACGAAAGAGAGGAAAATGTCCTCGATGTACCTAGGTTGTTTTTTCCGTCAATAATGGAAGTTTTTCGCGTAACTAAACAAGCTGTAAGACATTGAGTAACGGAGAATATGAAGTTTATTGCTAGTACACAATAAACGCAGTTGTTTTATAGAGAAAATAACTCATATTTACTTATTCTTCTTGATCAAGTTTGAACAACTTTATTTTAGACTTTGAGTTTCACTAAGCCTCAATTGAGCATAGGTAATAAATGTTAAGCTAAAGTATCGTTTTCAGCAATTTTATTCTCTACAGCTGGATATTCGCATCATCGAATCGAACCTAGTAACGAAGATCATGTTTAATTCAGACTTCAAGTGATATTAATAAACTATAAATGTCATGTAAGGTGATGATTAATCAGAAAGAGGCCTAGCGATCAACACACTCAACAGGTTAGAATATAAAGCTGCACAGTATGTAAAAATAGGTGAAAAGATAATATGTGATTATATATAATGTCCAGCTGTTAAAACGTATGATAAACAAAATTTTGAATCATAAGAGAAATAGATAAAAATAAGGAGTTGATCTTTGTAGCTACTGACCAAGTCTAAAGTGTGAACAAAGATTGAACAAGTTACTTTCTCTGCATAATTTCAGTTCCTCTACGCTTATAGCAACAGCTTCTGCTATACAGATGAGACAAAACGCAACATTTACCACAAATTTCTTTTTATCTTGCTGATGATTTCGTACGATGAATCAGATGTAATATTATGACCAATGTTGACAAGATCATCGATAAATGCACTTATGATGGATCCAGTCGTCCGACAGAGCAGCTGTGGTAATATTCTGTAACCTGCTTGGAAAGAATGGGCCCTGAACGACCAACATACCAGATTCTATAAGAGCAAATGAATTAGTAAACACACATGAAAATGGTCAAATGCGGCAGCTTGTGCTTTGCGTTGCTAGAAATAACTAGACAGCTGAAGAATATCACCCTCAAGGTTAATGTGCTAGATATGATTTTCTGCGAGTAATAAATTCTCTTCTATAGGAAGACACCTTAACGGTTCAGATTCTTTAAATTTGAAAAGGACCTGCCTCTTTTCAGTTTAGGTTTGTGTTTTCATTCACAAATTGTATCAGATACCAGTGTCCAAATATAATTGTCCTAAAAGCGTGAGTTATTTGAAGAAGTTAATGATGTACAAATGTCGAAGACTATGTAGAGTAAAAACCATGGTAACACAACTAAAGAGAGTAAAATTACTATACTCAACAATAATTTATCTACTTGGAAGTTATCGCTTGTTATGTCTGTCGTTTCACGCAGCCTTTGAGCTTTTTATATCTGTCCAATGCTATATAATCTTTTCGTTTGTTTCTTCATCAACTAACCGTTATCACTTTTGACGTGTCTATATGTATAACTTATATGCACTTTTATAGGTGATTCTCACTACCCTAGGTCGCAAAAAGCAATTCTTTGAGCTATAGGCATCCAGCTGCAGAAATTGGACAGCTGGCCACACTTCGAATGTTTCTTAGAGAGCTCTAAAATATCTTATCACCTCGTCTAGTCACTTCTACATCCGAAATCAAAATCTTTGGTTCCTTTTCTCCCTTTAGTGTGAATTACTTGTAAGGCATAATTCAAATTGAAATTATTGTGACAAAATGAGTTTGCATCGTCAATATACATTTTGCAAGCTAAATGCAATCTATTGATATACAATAGTCTGCAAATAGAAATATTTGTGTATTGGTCTGGTGGTTTCTTGGGCCCACAATATAAAAGATTTATGGCATCCATAAATAAACCGCTGATCCTTAGTCCTGCTGAAACACAAAAAGGTCAGCTTTTAGCATACTTGGTATCCCATAGGTAAAATCTCAAAGGAATGTACTGACCACACACTTATTCTATTTCGAAGCACACAAATACCCGCCGGTTAGGACCCATACTTTCAAGAATAAATTTTAAAAATCGCAAAATTAGAATTTAACGCATTACTTTAAAAGGTGTAAAATGAAAGTACATATTCAAGTACAAATACACTGTAGAGTGAATTTAATCACTCTTTACATATTCATTTAGATTCATTGTTAAAAATAGTTTTCGTTCGCTTAGGTGGAAATTTTTAAATAATTCTCTCTGATGCAAATATCAAAAAAATAGGTAAACGGAGTGAAGTGAAGGAAGATAACAAAATGTAATACACTTTCCACAACAGAACTTAAGGTCATTTTAATTTTCCTACTAACCGTCATAATCATTATAGAAGAATTTTCGAATATTTCCCATAATTATCTGGAAGAAAAAGCTTCAGTAATTAAGACCGATATGAACTCTTTTCCTCTTCCCATTAGTAAATAACATAAATTCAATTAACGAACATTATAATTTGTTGCTTTATTATTAGGGGTACTTCCATAGATTATGGTGAGATTTCAGAGTGGGTACAAATTTGTCAACATTCTCTCAGAGATAAAGTCATGCAACTTGGAGAGGAAGTAGACTTGTAGCATCTTGAGAAGAATAATGATATAAAACTTCCGATAACCTGAATTAGCTTATACTAGTATGTGTTAGGTGAAATAATCTTTCCGAAAATAATCACAAAGCCTAACTTATGTGTTGAAGAGTCTTGTGGAACACAGGATTTGAAACCACCGGTCAGACTCCAAGGACCCGACTCCCAGCTTAAGTTATGAAAATGATCCACAGACGTTTTGCACTTCATACACATGCAAGTACAAATACAGTGTTCAAAGCAGTCGTCAGAAAAAAACATTTTAGATGCGACTGATTATGCTTATTGGATCAATAATGCATGAATCAAGCTAGAAACATAGGAGATCTCCTTTGTCTCCTTGTAGTCAAGAACTAGTTTTGAATCAGACAGATGAGTTATTTTGATAACTGAAAGGTTGAATCGGGTGTAACTGAACTGATTCAAATATCTCTTGTGATCTGTTGTCATGCAAAGTAATCCTCTCTTCTTTTCAGATACCTAACATGAATATTGACTTCCATGGTATCTGCAGCTGGGATGTACACACATCCAACATTATATAAACTGTATCTAATCATAACCTGTTTTCCTTACAGTTACCGTTGCTGCATACTAATGTCATGAAAATCAGGCTCCATACAGTTTTCCAGAATTTTGACCTTGAGAGAGATGCTGACGACCTGAGGTGATAAAAAACCGTATCCGCTGATTTCGCAATAGAGCCTAGAGCCTTTGTACTCAAGCATCATATACTGAAACTCTAGGGTGGCGAACCGTGGATGTCTTCTGTTTCTCAGACACGTGGATTTTAGACCTGAAAAAGAGTCCATCGATTTCACCTTCACACTTCAACATTTTTTTGAGAACTTATACTCATTTGGTGACATTCAACACTAGTTATATTTCCTAACCTGAAGTCAACATTCTACTTTTCGACAGATAGGCGTCGTTGGAATTTTCGAATCAAGAGGAAGTAACAATCAGATATCTTATTCTGCTCATGAACCTGTACTCAACTGCACAAAGCCTTATAAGTTCTTACGTACAGATATCGTCTGAAGTAATCCCAAACGGGACGAGTATACTGTGCAACAGTTAGCTCTGGTCTGTAACATGACTATGATACATGGTCACTCAGAAGAGGTAAAATAAAGACACTACATCTCTGAATCTCTGATGCCTTCGTAGTATTGCTGGCGTTCTTTGATAATACCAAGTGGACATTATGGAGACTGTATACAGTACAAAGCAAGGCATACAAGTCAGCCTATGAGATGGTAAACCTTTGCCGACTAAGGTGACTTGAAGATATGTTTTGCATGCCTAATGGTCATTTGGTATGACATGTGATGTAAATCGTAGTAGAATTCAGTTGGAATAGGGTTTAGAGAGGTCAGACAAAAGATTGGCACTATTTCATAAATTCTCTTATTGTTGATCTCAACCGTGGACGCGAGGGTAAACTTCCTTGTTGGCATCCTCGAGATGATAGAAATCAGTGTCTGGATACATGCGATGAAGCTGCTCTAAAGTGGTCACAGTGGTGCAGATGTAGACACTCCATTCGTTTTCATAATTTTTAAAACTACCAACTTTCGTTTGTTTCTAACCCCTTCCCTATTAAAGTTTTTCCACCGTAATACAACGTTGCTTATTCACTTGTTCTTTGTCTGTTTTTGGTGGGTTCTGAAACTTGAGATGGTACATGTCTTCGTCAGTTTCCACATTGATATATCCACCTATCTCTGAATAGTACCCCATGGTTAAAGTAAAATCGATTATACTGATAATAATTCACTCATTTTGATTCTCTAGATTAGTGAGTGAATGATGCTTGGATCTAGTTATATACATTCAACGCTCTAAGGCCTTTGAAACTTTGTAGGATGAATAAATTTCTTTTTATAAACTGAACATCTGTAACTTTAGGATTCGATTTAAAGAGTCTCTTTACATGACAGATATCTAGCATTTTGAAGACAATCCATTTTTAAAAATAACCTTAGGAAAATTATATTTTTTGTCCAGTTTATGCCTTGAACTTATGCGATAAAGATTCTTCAATTCACATGATATTCATGTAGCATCTTAAGTAGTACAGATCTTTTCCGTCATATAATGACAAATCCCTCTTTTTATATTTACGATTTCGAGGTTAGCGATTGGTAAAATCATGTTGGCTTTTAAAAATATTTGTATATCGAGAACTGTAAAAAACTTGGTGACTTGGAATTAGGATGCAAGCATATCTTTTTTCAGTAGTCTATGAAAAATAAATGGTGTTGCTT